ATCTTTAGGTATATGTTAAATACAATAAGCTAATGAATAATTAATAATGTTAAAGAGCTAACTAGTATCGGAAGCGGTCGTTTTTGGCAAGCGTAATTGACATATTAAAGTGAAATAAAGACATTAATATCGTAAATACTGTTTAATTAAATTATATATGTGTATTACAATGTTTTTGTCTACCCTTCCCTTTAATGTTTAATTAATTTGATCAATTATATTATTATAGTTTAGTTTTATCGTATTGACGACATAACTTAATTTCATACACGATGGATATAACATCAGCTGTTAAATAATATCATTCGTATAATTGATATGTGCTTCGAATGTTTTGCGTATCCGTTAGTCGGTCGTTTCRTTTAACTTGAATGCACTTCCCCCGCTTTCAGTCCTTCGTATTTATCGCTCAATATTTTTAATATCCTGCATTTCGGAGCCATTACCTTTACATGCACGAAGATAAAATATTTTACGGGCGTCCAAACTGYATGAATTCAACGTCTAGTAATTTTGTACTTGTTTCGTACGGTTTTTGACGTTTTTATTGACCTACTCGATAACACACGATGTTCTAATAAATATTTTATTATTATCGAATACGTCATAAACTTTTCGTAATATTATATTATTCGATTGTGTGAACTGAAATATATGCTCTATATGTGGCTAATAGACAAAGATATTTGAATATATAATGTAGGCACCTATTATATTAATTTAATACCACCACTGTTGATTCGTATCTACRGCATAATTTTATTTTAAATAAAATGAATAAATAATATGTTGAAACGATGATTTATATATTACAGTTATATTTATATATAGTTCAATAGTTGTGTGTGTATTATTATCAATCATAAATAATATTTCGTTCGGCCCCTTACCAGCCCAGATTCCTGGAGAGTGGAGATGTATCATTATTTCAGTCAATTTCAATTTTTAATACCCATAGCATATTGGATTTTTTAGTATAGGTCGTGGTTGATATAGAAATGCATAACTATAACTGCACTGCGAGCTGYAAAATAACAAGATAATATTTTTGAAAATTTACATAATATTGTAATTCGGGTTGACCCACGTGACGAGTTGTGAATACAAGAGCTAGAATTATAACTAAAAAAAATAATTTCCAACACAACATAGGAATGAACATATTGTTGTACAATGTACTTAATGAATCTAAATACGTTTTTATATTTGAATTCCAATAGCGTTCTAACATCTAGTGCGCGTAATATCGTTAGACTTTTGGACTTTACATTTGCGAATCGGGTGAGTAAAGTGATTTATTAATTAACTATTATATCACACATAAATGTGCTCAATATAATAATTATTGGCATATACGAAACGGACAAACGGAAAGCAGGTGTATCCAACATTTTATCAGAAGCCCTACACCCAAACAATATTAATAATTTGATAACATTTATAATTAAGTCCAAGCTTATAAATTTTATATAACCTGTAAATAATTGTATATATATTATGTAACCTATTGTAAACCGACGCCAATGGCCTTTGACGCCAAGGCTTAATATAAAAAAATAAAAAAATAAAATAAATTATTGTGCACGCAATAGGTGTACACCAATACTGAGTAAGATGATTTAGGTAAAATAACTAATAATTAATTAGAAGACTCAAAATAATGAGTATAACGTCCATTTTATTTTTGCTCGTAATCAAGCTAAGGCCTAGTAGCTTATAGTTTTTACGATACAGTCCAACATTTTAATGATTGTCTCTACACAACGTCTTCATTATAGAAACATAATTTTTTTWMATTTTTTGAGTCAATTTGATTTTGTTTATKCGTCTGCTTTTTCTGCGCACGTCATAAATTTATAATTTCTAGGAACGTCTTGATTTTAGATTGAGGTCATTTCGTGATTGGACTGTATATTATAGTATTATTATATAATATTATATAATATACACCGTGTATCGGATTTCCTTTAAACGAATACAACGAATATCAATACACAGATACACTCTAACATGTGCAGCAAATGCACCCGCGTACCTCGTTTGTTCAGCTGATAATGATATCGTTATTACTTATTATATAAGTTATCATAAGTTAATATACACATAGGTTGTTATATGTGTACAATATAACTACTGTGGCGGCGCAATAACCATCGCATATTATTACATTACAAAATTCAAATAATTTTCAAAATGGGTCGTACCATAACAAGTTTGGGGACCTCTGTACTAACTTATAATATACTAATCTGATGTTTGGTTTATATAAAAACGGAATCGTTGAAAATTATATAATATAGGTGACTATGTCACGTGTGATTGTGTGAATYCGAGCTGCAGTTTATCATAATATCATAAAGTTGTTTAGCGCCATAATAATTGTATCGTCCACTACAGCCCTCAGCGTACAAACCGTGTTGCGTGCTGTATAATACATATACGCGATAATATTATACTTATACTCATATA